GGCGGCGAGTCTTCCTCAGGCCCTGCCTTCCCGCTGCTGCCCTCAGAAGCGGGCGTGTCTGCTCATCCTCCTTCCAGGGCGCATTAAACCCGTGAGGCTCCTGCGCCTCCCAGCAGGACGTTTCCGGGGCTCCGGCCTGCGCAGCCCTCACGCGGGCACCCAGGCGACACAGGGGCCGCGGGCGCAGAGGCACAGCCCCGGAGTCCGCGAGCACATGCGCGCTCACCTTTCCCTCTCCTCACGCTTTTTGGCAGAAGCAAGTGCTCAGGAAAGTCAAGACAGCAGAGCTGTTGCTGTCATGAGGTACGCGGACAGCCGGCAGCTGCCCCCCCAGGGTGACACCGCAGACGGTGAGTACCTCGGAGCAGGGGCACCGGCCCAGGGCTGTGTGGCATGCGAAGGGAGTCCTGGATTCCGGGGTGTGGCTCATGGGATGGGAAAGAGCCAGAAAGTCACAGCTCCGGTGGAGTTTGGGGCCCTGGGCAGGAGGCCTCCGACTGGCTGCCCGCTGTATTTTGAATACTTTTTTTAATGTTCTCCCAACCCGCTCACCTCCCCACCCCAACTGTCCCAGGGAGGCCCTTCTGAGTGTCTCTAATACTAGGGAAAACTTGTTAGTCTCCACATACCCCCAGCCAGAGTTACTCGGGACACTGCCCTCCCTGTAGGCCTCCTAGAAGCGCTGGAGACCTCCTCGCTGCGCCCATCAGGGGGCGCTTCACAGAGAGCTCAGAGCCCTGGCACTGCCGCAGAGTGTTGCCTCTGCTCTGCCCTTGAAGGTGGGAGGGATGGGAAGTTTCTCTGTTTGACTGCCCGGGAGCCACTCAGCTCCCTCAAGAGCTTTTCTCAGGAAGAGCTGGGTTTTGAGGATGGGTCACAAAGGAGCAACGAAGGACCAGAGATGGGCCTGCAGAATGCGTCACTGTAGCAACAGCACCCCTGCACCTCTCCTTTCTGGTTTTGTGCAGCCCCGGCCGCCCTCTCCTTTCATGGAATCCCCATCTCAAGTGACTCAAATAGAGTTAAGCTTTTGAGACAAGGCAGCAGTGTATGTCTGTTACAGAGTACAACATCCCAGGGATTTTTAAAAAACCATCCGTGGTCACTGAGAAAGCCTCAGAAGTCAATGGGATAATTCATGGGAAGAGTTAGGACAGTTTAACAATTCATATAAAGAGTTAGCAATTGTTATTTTTATTAGGCAATATCTCTTAGATTGAGTGTCACTTGAGCCCTTGGCATTGGGCATTGCCTAGATGCCTGAAGGCTTCTCTCCAGTTTGACCCCAGAGTCTGAGGTTAGGAAGTGATCAGCACCCTTCTGTTCAATTCTGGTGAGAGAAGACCAAGCACAATGTCCCTCATTCTGATCTGGAGTCAGGTAGAATCTTGGGTTCTGGGAAGTGAGAAGCTCAAGTGGACTTTCTGCCATTACCCGGAGGCATTCTCCTCCCCTCCTACTCCTTCCCTTCCTACAGTTGCATGTTTCTGAGAATGTTCAGTCCTCACATAGTAATCCAGTGCTGTTACAGTATGGAAATGCAACGTTTGTGGATTTAAAAAACTGTTTGTGCTCCACAAATACAGAGAGTTGAGGCAAGGCACTATTGTGGGGTGAGATGTTCCTTGAACTAGACACATAGCTTGCATTTAAAAAAATTAAAAAAAATAAAAAAATATATATATATTAAATATATCTTTATTGATTTCAGAGAGAGGAAAGGAGAGGGAGAGAGAGAGAGAGATAGAAACATCAATGATGAGAGAATCATTGATCGGTTGCCTCCTGCATTTCCCCAACTGGGGGTCGAGCCCACAACCCAGGCATGTGCCCTGACCAGGAATCGAACCTGATTGCCTGGATCCTAGGTCGATGCTCAACCTCTGAGCCACGCCTGGCCAGGCAGCTTGCATTTTAGTAGAGGGAGACAGACAACATGTAACAAAATAAATGAGATCATTTTAAGTAGTGATAAATGTTAAGAACATAAAACTGAGTAATGGAGAAGAGGGCCAATGAAGTCTTCTCTGAGGGAGCAGCATTTAAGCTGAAAGGCGCATGAAGGAAAAGAGCCAGGCATGTGGCTATCTGGCTAGGGGCTTTCAGGTTGCACCATGCTCCAAGGCAGATACAAGCTTGGCAAGTTCAGAGGAGCATAAGGTGGCCAGTGTATCTCGAGAGGCACGGAGCAGGAAGGGGCCAGTAGGGGATGTAGTCAGAGAGGTGGGCAGGAGCCTTGGACAATGTGGCCTTGAGCTTTCTTAGCCATACACAAAAAGTATGAACATGAAATCTAGGGCAAGCTGCGGGACCTCCATGGGGACATTCAAAGGAAGAAGGTCTCTGCCAATTGTATTCCTAAATGGCTATTCCATAAACATCTCAGAAGGGGAGGTCTAAGGACTCCTTATGCTCCATGATGGTGAACGAATCCATTTATCAGACTTCTGCTACATGGGGATCCCTCCACAGGGGAAACCAACAAGGTTGGACAAGGCTGGGCATCTTACTTAGAGGTAGGGGACATACATTTCTCACCTGGGACTTTGATTCAGAACCTCTTTAACTGTTGCTTTCCTGAACAAAAATCAATACCAACAACTAGAGAAACTGAGGTTACCTGTTTGCTGGGGGGAAACTGGAAAGGTGGAGAACTGGCATTTGTTGGGTAACTTTGTGCTGGGTATTTTACCCACATTATTTCATTTGATACATCAGTCCCATGACTATTCCCATAGCACAGGTAAGAAACTAGAAGCTCAAAAATGTTATATAATTTATGTAACATCCCACAACTAGTAAATGGAAGAAATAAGACTTGATCTTCAAGTTTGTTTGTCTCCCTGGTGTGGGAAGCAGGCTCTGCCCTGCCTCACTCCCATGAGGACTCTCGCTCCTTGAAAACGTCTCAGGGCCTTGGCAGCTCAGGCAGCTGCAGTGGTGGCAGGAAGCACAAACATGGACCCCTCTCTGAGGGCCAGCTGAGATGGGATGCTCACACCTTCCTTCAGCTTTCTTTAAAGTGGAGGTTTCATTGACCATCTAAGGCCAGCCCATCAGCTGGGGCAATAGGACAAGCTTCAGTGAGACCCAGGCCTGCAGGCTGCACCCAGGATCTCATTTGCACTTCAATGGCACACTTTTCTTTCACTGCACTTTGTATTTGGGTGTTAGATGTCTCAGTGGAGAGACTCCCCAGTGCAATTAAATGAGAGTATTGAGCCAGGGTGAAATCAGTGTGTTGACTCAGATATTTAAGCCACCATCTTTCAGTACTGACTAAAAAATTGGCCTTCCAGCTGTCCCTGCTGGCAGGCTCTACTGGCATCTGTCAGACCCCTGTTAGTGTGTTTTTCAAATTTCAACTTGCTTCAACTTGTCTCCTAACTTTTCCCCCAATTATTATAATAATGGGTTCCAGGCTGACCTTCATACAGCACTTAGGCAAGTAGCCCTGGCCCCTCTCCGTTGGTGACCCTTATAGATCATGGGCTGGGGGAGTCTACTTGCTGGGTTTACAGCAGGTTATGTCAATTGGAGGACTTCTTACACCAACTTCTAATTGTTCCTCTGGATAACATTAATGGTGAGGGTCTCTCTCCTGACTGAGTTTAGGGTTTAGCGGTCTGCCTGCTGGGGGAAGGGGGATTGCCAATTCCTCCAAATCTGACTATTTTCCCAACAGGAAGAACTTTCCCACTATTTGCAATCCCCCTGATGGATGATTCTTGGATGTGTTTGTGGTCACTTATTGCCAGGTCCTTGCCCCTCACTTTGCAGAGTCTTGACAATACAAGAGCTTTTCCCAGACATGTCCAATGACCTGGGTCCAGCTGGCTTGGAGCCAGGTTTAGGAGCCTGGGCCCCTATTCTCAGCTTTTCAACAGCCTTTTGAGGCCTTTATAAGTGTGGCTGTTAACTCCTTCTGACCTTTTCTACTTGGGGCTGATGAATGGCATAGCTGTTTTTAACCTCAGTCTTTCTAGGAGTTGAGTTGTTAACACAACAATGTTCTATAGATGGAAGACTGCTTCATTTCTCTCATTCTGCAAGCTGAGGTCATAGAGTGTCTGCTTTCTGGGATAGCTTTGAGGACTGGAGGGGATATTTTTCATCTGAAAACTGTAAAGTGCTGAAGTCATGTCAGGTATGACAACCGCTTAATCACTATTGTTGAGAATTCATTCACTTAACAAATCCATGGGTTTTGGCATAAAACTGTAAGAGGTATTACAAGGGTTTAAAATAATAACAATGAGCCCTGGCTGGGTGGCTCGGTTGGAGCATCATTCTGTACACCAAAAGTTGCTGGTTCAATTCCCAATCAGGGCACATACCTAGGTTTTGGGTTTGATCCCTAGTCAGTGTGCATTTTGGGAGGCAACTGAATGATGTTTCTCTCTCACATGGATGTTTCTCTCTCTCTCTTTCTCCCTTCCTCTCTCTCTAAAAATCAATAATAAAAAACAACAACCATACCGTCGGGTGAGGATTAAAAAAAGTGAGAATGATCTGCTGCATACACAGGGCTTTAGATCAGCAGGCAGAAGGCGATCCATATGGAAGTCAGGACTTCAGCCTAGTGCAAGGTGCTACAGGGCCAACAGAGAGCATAGGTGATGCTGGATACACCCTGAGGACTTGGAAAACCTTTAGGAGAAGATGTGGGTGATGGCAGGAATGGGCACAGCAAGCATGTAGCCTCTCTGATCTCTGGAGAATACAGGGGCTTCTAGATGCTGGAGAACTAGTCCTCCAGGGTGTGGCCTCTTTGCCTGTGGGTAGAAGTAGGAGGCAAGGGAGTGGGTGATTCTAGAATGACAACCTCTCCTAAAACCTGGGGAATCCATTGCACCCTTTTTATTATGAGGATAAAATTTTCCCACTGGTGGAGTTTTCCTCCAAAAATATCACTTCTAGAATTCATAGCTCCTTTCTCTGTTCATACCTCCTGTATGGTCAACCTGTTCTTTCCCCAGAGCAGGAGGATGTATTGTAAAATTAACCCAGATGGAACCAAGTGGAAGGAGAGAAAGTGCTCTGCACACGTGGAGACCAAACAGAATAAGGGCCGGGGGTGGGGGGAGGGACAGGCTGAGAGGTACAGAAGGACAAGATGCCCAGCCACAGGCCCTTTGCTGGGAATTACTGGGAGAGGTGAGCTTAGACAACTGAGATGACTCAACTGAAGATCTGACTTCAGGCTCAAGCCAACACTCCCACCCCAACCCCAGTGATGGAGAGTCACATTGAAACCAAAAGGTGGTTTCCCATCTTTTATTCTCTCTAGGAGGTTAGAAAGAGGTGCAGAAATGCATAAGAAATTGTTTTAATTGCAAATGTAAGAATCCCTTATTGTAACTCCAAGTCATATACTTTATGACTCACACAGCCCTGCTTGTAACAACTAGGCAATGACCCAAATACCACCTACATTCCTCAAGGTAACAGCATTTCCTAAAATGGCACATTGCTTTCACTCCTGCATCTCAGCACCTGCACCCAAAGCTCACATCAGAGAACATGACTCATGTGATTGTTGTTTTCCAAAGAGAAAAGTATTTCTTCTGCAATCGTTCTTTTAATTTAATCATTTTAATCTATATTGAAATGGGTTTCTAAGGTGCTTTTAATTCTTTACTGGGCTGTGTTGGTTTGTTCAACTAAAGAGGACTTATCTGTTCATTCATTTACATTATAGAAGGAATATTTAAATATTATTATTTTTTTAAACCAGAAAGTACAGATAAACCAAAAGAAGACAACAAAAGCATCTATAATTCCATCACCCAGAAAGACTACTATCAAAATTGCTTATCTTCCCAGACTTGTATGTGTGACAGTGCCTGTGTATGCGTATACACATATACTTTTTCTCACAAAACTGGGATTTTTATACATACAGTGTTTTGTAACTTGGCAGGTCATGACTTTCTTTCTTTTGAACATTTAAACACATTTCAAAACAGAGGAGGGAAATTTTAAAGAGACATATGTGCTTCACATGGTACATTCATTTTCCATGCAACTTGTGCTGTCACATACCAAAAGCCACATTGACATTGTAACCAATGAAATCCAATTATCTTGTACTTCTACACATTTATAACACACTTGCAATGACCCTGCTAGTTTGTGAGTCCTGATGTCTCCTCTGAATTTTCCAAGAAAGGCTACTGTCATTCAATTTAGCTTTTGTTTTTAGATTATTCCAGGTGTCTAGATATTAGTAACGTATGACAATGTACATTTCAATTCTCAATGAATCATAAAACTTAATTAACCAGAATGCTACATTCCACAATGTGCACAATACTGAGCATTTACTGTAGGAAAATGGTGGCACTAATAGGCAGTCCTAGAGGGTTGTGACCAATGGTCTTATGAGAGCCAATGAGGATGCATGAGAATTCACCTCAAGTAAATAAGGAAATTCTTCCACCATCTGAACTGTGGAGTTGGGTTGGAGTTAAAATGTCAAATATATTCGTGTAGAAATTTTAAGAGAGTCTTACAAATCTGGGCTGACCAAGTCTTGTTTGAATTGTCAGGTGGCATCCACTGACATTGAAAGAGTGACACGGCCTGTCCAGCTTTCAATATGCCATCTCAGTCCTCTCCCCACACAAAGCTGCCTCATCATCTTTTTTTCCCCGTTAATCAGGAAAATTTTCCTCAAGGAGTGAAAAGGGAAAGAGGAAAATTAGTTTAATAGAAATTCATGAAAAACAGGAGTAGAAATGGAGAAGGAGGACCACAGATAAGCAAGAAAATGAAAAATGGCCAGGTTAGGAGAGAGAAAAGTGTGCTGTGGAGGTGAGAGGAATGAATCAGCAACGAAAAGCTAAGTGGAAAAGTTTCTGAGAAGAGAAATTAGAAGGAAAAAAGACATAAAGTGTTGACTAAGGAGAGACTAAGAGATATGAGAAATATTAGTTTCTAGTGTTGAGTTTACTTATAGAATTCTTTGTGTATGGGTTAAACCAGAAAATAGATTATTCATCTTGGTTACAAAGCAATAATGGTGCTGTTTGGCAGCATGCACATGTCATAATCAGACCCTGAGTGCTGATAGGGGAAGGCAAAGTTTTCCTTTGCTATATTTCCTCCTTTTTTTTTTTCTTAAATAAGAACTCCAACCCCTTCTGGCTGTTTTTATATTCATTAGGGTAACCCCCACATTTGGTAAAATTACAAAGACACAAAACAAATACGTTCTCTGATCAAGGTATTATTTTGTGGCTATTTTTCTCTCATAGGTCCTTTTAACATTTCTGTGAGTTGAGTGGGAGATAGATGTATTACTTAGTCTCCTTTTACACCTGGAGAAACTGAAGCACAGAAAGATGTTAGATGGAGTACCCATGAGCATTTATAGACCTGGAGGCAGACAGCCATATCTTCTCAAAAGAAAAAAATTACATTTCTATCTGTAATCAACTCTTTTTTCCTTTATTTGCAATGGTACCAAAACTGAGCTCAAACTTTTCAACCATTCTTTCCTTATCATTTATCCTACCTGTTTCCATTTTTGAAAAATTTAATTCCTTTTAAAATTATAATACTGCTTACATCGCAAAGAAAAACAGTACTGTAATAAACTATGTAATTCCAAATGAAAGGAATAGTGTTTGAAGTAATAAAACTAGTAGAGAATTAGCAAAAAACAAAAACAAAACCCCGTATCTGAATAATTAACAATTTACAAACATATTGCTGAACATGATTCCGTCTTTGGGGGACAGGGGTGTGAGGAAGATGTGGTATAGTGAATGTGTAGCTAAGGACATTCCCACTTAACCATTTCTAATTTGGTCATACCCTATAAAAATGTCACACTTGAAGGTTTTTATGAACTTTGATTCCTTCTCAGATTAGCCTCAATTTATGCATGTGCTACACACTCCATATGAATTATTATCTGGAGTTGCACAAGTGACATAGTTCTAGGTGTCCCAGGAACTCCCTCCTTCTTTTCTAGAGGGTCCTCTCCCAAATATTCACCTCACCCTGGCCCTGAGATTAGAAAGAGACTGGGGAGAGGTCCAGTGGCCCAAATTTTTCTACATGTATATCATTACTTATGTTCATTAGTGACTAGTACATTAGCACATTGAGCTTTGTCTCAGTCTAATTGTGGTGAAAACTACCCATTTATTTTCAATCTTAAGACAAAGTTAATCACTGACCCAGGTTCAGGAAGATGCTTGAGGTGCTAACAGCCCCTAATGGTGAAAGAAGTCATTCATTCATTTGGGAACAGAAGGCTAAAGATAGAAGCCCTTCCTGCATTTCCTGATTTCTAGGACACTAGAGCCTCAAATGTAGTACATAAACATCTCTGAACTTGAATGTCTCTAGAATATTAATTAGTGTAAAAAGAAAAAAAAATAGAAGTGGGAGTGATATATGACTTTCAAATCTTAGATGCTGACCTTTCCAAATGAAACTGCAGGGAGAGCAGGAGGTGGAGACAGCGTCTTCCATCCAGGCCTGTTTCCATTCCTTCTCTGAGTCCAGCTCCCTCCCTGTTGCTGTGGCTCACAGACCAGGGGTGGTGCTTTTCCAGTGCTTTCCCCCTGGTCTCCAGACTTAGAAATAAGAATAGGCATCTTTGAGTCTGTACTCTACCTGGGACACTGTGTAATCACTTTATATAAATCATCTAATTTTATTATCACAATGACCCTGGGAAGCAGGTGTAATCGTTATTTTCCCTCTTTTCAGATGAGGATAAATGAGGCCCAGAGATGGTAATAAGGAGCAGTGGCCATGCTGGGTATGAGCCTCAGCCTTTGTGCTGTTGATGCTCAGACCTTAGTCGCAAGGCAGCAAGTCTGGAGGCTTGGTGCTCTTATGTGAGTTATGCACAGGTAAAGATTTAATATGTGCCCAGCCAGCATGGCTCAGCTGATCATCCACCTAGGATCCAGAAGGTCGCTGTTCGATTCCTGGTCAGGGCACATGCCCAGGTTTTGGGCTCCATCCCCAGCTGGGGTTATGCAGGAGGCAGCCAATCAATGACTCTCTCTCATCATTGATGTTTCTATCTCTCTTTCCCTCTCCCTTCCTCCCTCTGAAATCAATATAATATATTTAAAAAAAAAAAAAAAAAGATTTAGTATGCGACCAACAAGATGTCACAGTGTGGGGTCAAAAAAATAATGTAGCAACACGGCTGAGGTCTGTATGCACCTTTTTGGCCTGGGCTGTGAAGATGAGCTCCTGCCTG